AAACAACTGGAAGACGGGAGAACTCTCTCAGATTACAACATCCAGAAGGAATCCACACTGCACTTGGTGTTGCGACTCCGTGGAGGAATGCAGATTTTTGTGAAGACACTGACCGGTAAAACCATCACCCTAGAGGTCGAAGCATCCGACACAATAGAAAACGTGAAAGCTAAGATTCAAGACAAGGAAGGAATTCCTCCAGACCAGCAACGTTTGATCTTCGCTGGCAAACAACTGGAAGATGGGAGGACTCTCTCAGATTACAATATCCAAAAGGAATCGACACTGCACTTGGTGTTGCGACTTCGAGGAGGAAATAGGAGGAACGAACCCTTAACTAACTGCTGAGAGGAATGTTTCTGTCTGTGATGTCTAGTAAAATTGATAGTATTGATAGCGTTTCTGTTACTTTTTTATGTACATTTCATGTTCTATATAACTCGGTATCAGTATATAAGTATTTCGTTATTTGTATCTAATGGCAAGAATGGCAAATTGTATTGATCCTATTATATATGTGGACACATTCTTGTAATTTACGTATATTCATTAAAGGATTATAAACGAACTGGTGTTATAAAAATGGTTGATTGTATGTGCTAAATGTTTTCACACGTACGCTTGTACATAATGTATCAAAATTTTATAATAATGGTTATTTTAATAATTATTATTTTCAAACAGTATATTTTATATTTTTTCTGTATTTACCTACAGAGTTATAATTTAAATATGCTGAATTTGTTACCATGTATACATGACCCAAGGTAAGTATCAATTTATTTCTATCTCTTAGTTTTACTAAATCAGTATGTTCTCATTTATTTTCAACATTAAATGAAGTAATCCAAATAATACTTACCTTTTATGCTTCTATTTCTTAATATATAACATTTTAACTACTACATTACATTGTAAACACAATTTTATTTTGATAATTAATCGTAAATGGAAGCAACATTTTTTCGTCAATAACTATTAAATTTATATTTATATGAATAACATAAATGAGATAATAAAATTG